GTTTGCAAAATAGATTTTTCAATCAGGACTCAGCATGAGTGACAGCAACAATGTGGTTAGAGAAGTCAGAAAAGCCTTTCTTCCCAGAGGCTTCGACAAGAAGAGGTTTGAGAGGCGAGGCTGGGATGATTTGGACATGTGCAGGGAAGAGATAGTGGGTATGCTGGGAAATGAATGGAATATGGAGCAGCCAGGCAAGAGGAAAAGTGGAAGGAAAAGTGAACCAATGCCAGATATTTTGCTCCAGTCTAATCACCACTTACAGCAGGCATAGATCGCAAATTCAAAACATTATTTATTCCAATAGATTTATGACGGTTACTTCAAACCCCAGAGGCTGTCTGCTCCCAGTCCACCTAAAACAAAAAGAAAATGCTAGAAAAAATCCTTGAAGCACAGGTACAAGAGGAGCAATAGCAACAACTTTACGTTCCAGCTTATTAATTCACTGTAGACTCAGACAAAGTTTTGATTTATTTAACTGACTCTTCGTCTTAAAATGGAAAAATAGAACCCAGTTCTATTTGTTGTCGTCTATCGTCACAGCTGGCCCATATGCAGAGTTTCCAGTCTGATTTCTATCTGATCTTTATCTGTGCTCAGTTCAGAGAAAAATGACAGTAGCTGATTTTAACATTCATGTAGAGACTGAAAAAACAAACTCAACACCAGGTTTTTATTTATGATTTAAACTCAGCTGGCGTGTAAATGAGCCCACTCGCAGCTTTAGTCACACTGTGGATTTTGTCCTGACATGTGACGTGGAAAATAACGTTGAAAACCATTTCTCAATAACATTTCATTTTAGCTCAAAGAATTGTAGTACGCTATATGTATTTCTGAAAGTGCTGTATCATTTTCAGTGCCAACACATGCAGGAACCTAAATCCTACTCCCACTACGAGATTGCAGAGCAGTACGTACAACTTTAGATATTGTGGCTCCTCTGAAAAAAAAGAAAAAAGAAATCAGAAGTGCCTGACTCCGGGGTATAACTCACAAATGCACGTCTTAAAGCTGGAGTAGAAATGATACTGCACTAGTATAAGAGATGTTTTTTGGCCCAGAAAAATAGTTTGTTGCTCTACAAAAAAGCCTCCGTAAAGCGACTATTTGTCAGTGGTGAAAGAAAACAGACCTCAGACTATTTGAAGAGTTTCAGTCAGGTTTCACAATCCATCGTAGCGCAGAGACAGCACTACTGAAGGTTACAACTAATCTTATAGTCTCGTGTCTGATTGTTCTGCTAAACCTCGGTGCAGCTTCCGACACTGCCGATCACAACAATGTCATACAGAGCTTGACTGTTGCAAGCTGCTATTAAAGGAAACGTGCTGCAGTGGTTTGAATCATCTGTGCAAGCACCAACTCTGTTTACGTTATTAGTAAATACTCCATAGATATTCATTGCTTTGCAGATGATGAGTTATTTCTGTCCATGAAGTCACATGACGCAGGCATGTCTCAGAGACAAAGACCTGAATGACTAAATAATGACAACTGAGAATATTAGATTTGGTCCTAAAAGTCATATAAACGTTCCAACCAACCACATAGCCATCCTGGATAGTAATACCTTGGCCTCCAGTAACACTGTGAAGAATCTTGGTGTCATTTTTGAGGAAGACATGTCCTCCAATGCAGATATTAAACAAATATGTAGCACTGCTTTACTTCATCCGTGCACTGTCTCTAAAATTGGAAGCATTCTGTTGCAGGGTGATACTCAAAAACTAGTTCATGCATTCATTACTTCTAACTTAACTATGGCAATTCATGATTATTTTCACTCCCCATGTGTATGTATACCACTTCGGCGTGTTTGTCTTCTCTGTCTCTTCATCAGTCGCTGCCTATGCTCTCTTTTTCATGTCTCTTCCCTTTCCCTGGCTCCCAACCAGTCCTCGCAGACGAGCCGTACTAATGATCAGTCTGTAGAGCCGGATAATGAGAGGGGGGGTTGGTTCATTTCTGTGAATGGTTCAACTGACACTCAACCAATCTCTGAGTAATTTTATGACTGGAAACT